TGGCTCTTCACATCTGAGACTGAAATGTTATATTACTCTTCCGAGAGTTTAAGTTTGCAGGGTGACACTTACCAGGTGTAAGGTGCTGTAAGGTTAAGAAGCATCAAACCTATAATAAGAGTCTGACTTCCTCTTCATTTTGTCTCCTTTTGTGTTACATACTAGGGCAAGGAAGGTCTGCCAATCACTATCATTTCTTTTTCTTGTTCTATAAAGACTGGGTCGTCACAGCAACAGGCCTGTGACAGGCTGGTATCCATTTAGAGCTCCAGGGGGGTCCTAATAGGATTGAACCAAAAGATCAAGTGAATAGCTTCCTATTTTAGATTTGTAATAACTCTGAACTGTTTGCATATACATGGACCTTGCGGTGTTATGAGGAGACTTTTTACCAGAGAAAATCTGTCTATTTCTATCAGCACTGTACTTTGGAAAGGATACCCCTTAGCCTACTCCATCTTTGCAAAAAGGAAAAAGAAAACAAAATTAAGCCTACTGCTCTTTCTCTTGCACACACCAAATTGGAAGGTGTCATTTCCTTTCATTAATTCATTTTACCAGATCAAAGTAAATAGTCTGTTTATGGAGAACAAAGAAGCCCCTTTTTGGTATTCTGCTGAAGTCGCTATCAGATTCAGAAGTTTGCTCATCTTTCTGAAATCTGGCAAGGCTACATGCTGCCGAGATTACAGCCAAACGACTCATGCAAAACGGGCAAATAAATTCCATGCAAAACAAACTCTAGCAGAGTAAGAATGAGGAGGGGACATTTTGTTGATTTGGGAGGCTCTCCAGAGGTTAGGTCTCTGATTCGGCTTGCAGAGGGGGCTTCAGCAAACCAACAACACTTGGCAGGCAGAAAAAGAACAGAATTAAGTTGAAATTATTTGCAGTGATTATGGAATCTGTTAGAAAATAGGTTATGCTTCATAGATTTCATTCACAGCCATTTACTTGTCAGTACTATTTGTTAAGAACAGCATTTTATGTGGAACTTCTTGTTGGGTAAGATCCCAGGTGTAAACTTGTCAAGATCTAGCTCTAGGACTTATAAAACATATATTTTTAAAAGGCTAAATACTGGTAGCTTGCTTTTTTTTTTTTTTTTTTTTTTTTTCTCCTCTCCTTAAAGCAGGGCTTCTGAAACATCTCATTCAGAGAGGAGAAGCAGATGAGGTTGCCATGTGAGCTGGACTGTCCAAAGGTTTTGGAGTTTTTTCTCAAGGTTAGCTCTAGCCCACCTTTTGGAGGCAGTTGACTGCTATCTTAGTTGAAGACCACTGAAGCTTCCTTGCAAGGATGCTTAGCATGGACATATGTCAACTGTAGTAACACTATGACAAGTTATCATACTTATCTTGGTGAGGTCTTTTGAATACTATCCTTGTATTCATTTTTTTGGCTGCTTAGATTGTAATCAAAGTCAGGTGCTGCAACCAGCCTGAGACTGTCTCTCTGTCATCTTACACTTGATCTTCTCTACCCTTCCTACCAAATATTTTGGTTTTGTACAGAGTTTGCCTTCATCTTAATACCAGTATTGGAAGCAGAAGAGTCTTCCACAATTCATTTTCCAGTAGCTTATTATTTCTATACTAAAAGTGTAAGACTCACACATGCAAGAAATATTCATAAGCCTGTGACTGGATAAGTAAATTCTTGTATTTTTTCATATAGGATTGTGGTATGCACATATGTTCCTGATGCTTTTATCAGTGCACATTTTAAAGAGGGTTTTGCATAGATCAGGGACTTAAAGGTACTCATTTAATTAGAATTAGGGGCATCCCTCTGGGAGGAAGGATTATGCAGGTAAAATACTAGGACTGTGATCCATCAGCCTATAGGGACAATGGCAAAACTGCAGTTCATTCGTTTGGGCCCTGTGTGTGGAGCTAAGATACATAACAATGAGCACCAAGATGAAGGGAGTGCCAGGGCAGGGACTATATAGCAAAACCTAGGAGCATTTGAAACGGGCTTTGAATAGATCTTCCTAGGCATGTTTTCCTAAATCCAAATTTCTCAAACTTCACTTTTGATTTTAGTCAAGTCAAATAAGAAGCATACTGATCAGATTTCTATAAAGTACTTTGCAAGGATTTCTGGTGGGTTTTATTCAGATTTCCTACTGCCTACAAAGTGAGACATTCTGAAAGTTTGGAATGGATTTTGAAGTTATATGCATATTTCTATAGGAATTTTAGTTTTCTTTCGATGGAAATCTTTGGCATATTCTTTGAGATTCAAAAAAATAAGTGAGTTTTTTCTTTTCTGTAACTTAGCTTTGATAGACCTGCGTTATGAAGACTTTCATTCTGGCTGAGCAAGTATTAAAGATTCTTTCAACAGAACAGAAAGAATGTCTTTATTTACAAGTAAAACCTGAAATTTTGATGAAATTATGATGGAGGTTTTGAAGTTGAATTCCAGTTGTGAAGAAAGCAGAAATGCTCTATGAATAAGAGGATGAAATCAAGTTCCTATCTCCTACTCTGTTGCTAATCATGTTGAAAGTCCCCTAAATTTTTTAAGAATAAAGACCTGTATGTGTGATATAACAAAACTGTAGGCCTTTAAAAGATTATTCAGCCCATTTTTGTGGGCTTCCATCCGACAGTGCTGAGGCCTCATGAAGCTTGTGAGTGCTAACCAAAACCTAGATGTAGGCTTGGGGATGGATTCTTCTATCACTGTGAGCAGAAGAAACAATTTACAGGGCTATTAGGATAAATTTGTAATGTTTTAAGTGTGTGAGTTAGGCGGTGCTTTGTGTGTGTTTGTAGATGAAAAATTTATTCAGACAAAAGTGTGGGTGTCCCTTCAGACTGTCTCCAAGTGCTGCAATCTTGACTCTGGTTAGTCACAGATTCTTTCCATGGGGAAGAAAACTTTTATTTAAGCATGGTATCTGATACATGCTCTCTTTTGTCCTGATCTAGACTAAGCTGTCCAGGTCAGGAGTGGTCACCTTTGCTATTATTCTGTAAACTGTCTGCAAGAGAGAATTACTTTTTGTTTTATGTTGTGCAGCACCTGGCTCCTGGCATGATGCTAGTACAAATAATGATAACATACAGCAGCTGGCATAGCAGCATCCTCTGTTCTCCACACATGGCACTGCCATAAATGTGATAGTGCAATACCTCCAGTCACCGCAGAGAATTACCTCTTACTGGAAGCTAAATGAATGTGGATGCTTTTGATGATAAATCTGCCTGCCTTGGTCTGTTCTTTTCTTTATGCAATTAGCTGGAGTGAAGGATGAGATTTTTTTTTTTTTTTTCTAACAAACTATCTGCTTTTTGACTGCAAGCACAAGTAGACTCTTCCCCAGACTTTGTCTGACAATGGCACAATGGAGAGCTGAGCTGCCACCAGCGTGATGGATCCCTTGGAGCTTCCTGACCCAGCTCTGGCTGTGGCACTTTACCTTAGCCCAGCTTGGAGCAGATGTTCTACATTCACCACACATCTTACTTCTCAGTGAGGCCAGAAGATGCTGGTTTGCAGCTACACCACAGCCCTGCCATGCCCAGCTTGGCATTGGCACCATGCACCTGGCTGAGGGCCTTGGCCTAGCTGCCATTTTGAGGTCACCCTGGCAGGGCCTCAACATCTCCTGGTTCCCTCATCTCTGAGAAAAGAAGGTGGTGGGATCTTACACCCTGATTTTTTTTTTTTTTCTTAGAGAAAGTGAATTTCTTAGAAAGTGAATTTTCTTAGAGAGGCTGTGAATTGTACATAACTTCTCTGCACCGAATTCCAACCATGAATTTTTTCAGAGCGCCTCATGAGAAAGTAACGATGCAAGGCCCTCAAAGTGGGCAGTCAGAGCTTTAGAGCAGACAAGCTTGTCTGCTGAAAGTCAGAAGGTCAGCATCTTGGCTCACTGTGCACTAAGTTTCCACATAGACAAGTCCTCCGTGTGAAAGAATGAGGACGATTGGGGCATAAATCTTATAAATGAGTAAAATGATAGTTGTCTTGGCAATGGCAGATCTGATAAAGCATATTCCACCTGTTGTGGAAAGGCAGCAGATGGCCACAGCAATCTGTCAAAAATATGGGGATTTGAGGTCTAGCCTGAAAAGATTCTTTCTCACTGTGTCTCCTCAGATCTGCGTACAGGTAAGCCCATTTGTGTGATGTAGGGGTTGTTGTTTGGTGGTTGTGCTCTGAGTATGAGGAGTGGTGGGCTTGGCTGAACCTTTCCATCTTAGATTTGTGTAATTTTCCTTTTGATTAGACAATATATACTGAACAACTCACGAGTTAATATGAGATGGGAGCATTTGTATGGCAGATCAGAGAATGTCTGTTTCCACAACCATACTGAAAGAGTCTAATTAAGCTTCTGTGTAAACCACATTTAGACTGTGAATAAGTTTTACCAGGCAAGACTGTTGCTGCTGAGAGTTTGAAAAAGGAATTTTAATGGAATAAGGAAAATGTGTCTTAAATCAACATAGGAAAGAGAGTCTGTCAGTTTTATTACTCATTATCTTCTATTTAAAGAGCCATTTGAGAGTATTCCAGGTACCTCTTAAAATTTTGGGGATCTGTTGATAAAAATATGCTTGATATTTATGTTTGTGACCCTTAGGATACTTTCATATTAATCTTTCTTGAAAGAGTGTGCTTCTGCAAAGGGTTATGTGCACGGTGAGGCTACATGCAGGCTTTTACCCAGGCCCCAGGTGCAAACATTCAGGCTGAAGCTTGAACTCCTTTGTCTCATTGTGCTTTCTCAGGGGGCTGCTGTAAAGCATAATTCATTGATTTTAGAGGGGTTTTGAATGGACTGTAGGTATATCTCCACATCTACTGCTTTTAATTTAGGCTTCCTAAAAGATCTTGTTCTCAGAGGACTAATTCTCATTCTCTGACCAAGTTTTCAGTGCCCTTAATGGATGAAAACATTGCTAGCTGTAACATTTCAGTGGCATGTAGATACATGGAAAGCATTGCTCTCACACTTCTTTACTTTCTCTTCCAAGGAATAAAAGGAAGATTTTGATAATGGAATTGGTTGTACTTCCCCTTTTGTAATTGGCTGTGAAAGAAGCTGCTATTGCACCAAGTCCCTTCATCTGTGAGCCCATTGAGCTGGTGAGTGCATCTCTATGACACAAATCCCTGAGTATGTGCAGTTTAACATGGGAGGCAACTAATTCTCTCTCCTGCTTTGATGCAGAGTCTCAGTGCCAGAGTGGATGTGCCCCTTTTTTTACTAGTCGCCATAACTTAGACCACAGGGATCTTTGATACATCTGTGTGAATTACTCCAAAAAGAAATAGGTTTCATGGGAGTCTATGTAATTTATATATAGACTGTAATTTAAATGAAACAAACAACATGAGTAAGGACCACTTTTTTGCTGCAGTTTAAAGCCACCTGGAGCCATTTCCATGAAATCAGCTTCTGCATTTTTAAACAGCATTAGGCCAAGGACAGTCTTCTATCATTACTACTTAGTCTTAACCCTCCAAGGGTCACTCAGTGGTACTACTAGGTTTTTGACATGCCTTTAAAAATGGAGTAAAAATGTTCTTATATGGTGATAGTGCAATGAAACACAACCATCCACTGGGCAGTGGGACTCTGGAGGCAGAGATATGTGGGGATTTTATAGTGTTTGTGAAGGATACTTTATGTTCTGTAACATATGGTATTGTTGTTACTCTTTGATTTGTAGTTTTGGGCAGACACATTCTCATAACCTTTGTGCGCCTTCGGCTTTGGAGGTCCTAAGGCTGCTATTGTTCAGTCAGTTTCCAAGCTCAAGAAGAATGTTTTCTTCATAAAGAATATGTTAAATATTACCAGAATTTCAGCATCAGTTTTATATTTCAGGCATATGATTTGGCATGTTCTATGGATGATGAAACATAGCTTTTAAGTTATGATTTAATTTAGATTTTTTAAATTAAAATAGCAGCTGTTTCTCTACATGTGAAATGTGAGTCCACTGTAGCTTCACTTATGTAAGTGCTGTTTTCAAGGTATAATATATTGTATAACCCAAGAGCAGAATAAGGCTGGATTTAGTGTAAGTACATGTCTAGTTGCTTCCTATCACTGGGTAAGTGCAAGGCTCAGCTAAGCTTGACAAATCATTGTCAAGGGCTTGGATAAAGTTTATTTTTCTCTGTTTAGTTTTCATTCTTTTGCCAGACACCTATTCTCTCTTTGCTGAGCTGAGTCTGAAGATTGGTAATGTGGTTTATGGGAATTACAGTGATGTAACAAGTTTCAATAAAGGGTAAACTGGATGATGGTAAAGGAGAATGCACAACTTTTGGATTACATGCTGACAACAACTTTATTGGCAGAGAAGTTCCTGTGCAGAGAGAGAATGAAAGATAATGTATTTTTTAAGCTTTGTTTCAAGAATGTAAGAAGTCAGTGTGTGATGTTGTGAAGAGGGTAAAATTCCCCTTGTGTTTAGATGTGTTGCTGATGCCATGGTAAATCATAAACAATATAGCTGAAAGATGCTATATGGAGTTCTAAAAGATTAACTTCTTCAGTGGGGCCTGGATTTTTTCAAAGACTTAAAACGCTGATGCCTTTGCACAGTATTTTGCATTTGATTTTTTTTTTTTTCCTAGGAGTGTCTGTAATTTGTTCCCCCCTCCCTTTTTGTGTGTGCTTTCACGAACTTCTAGAAGAAATTGATTGCTTTTTCTGGGTAATGCACGGAGATGAATGCAGCCAGGTTATCCAAATGTGTTAACAGCTATGTGTTGTTATAGGCAGGGAGGTCACTTCTTTAGGAACAGAGTAATAAGAAATAACTTAGGGTAGAGTCTTGCTACACTAAGGAAAAAACAGCTCTAACTCCAATAAATGTTGTTCTCAATCACTGTCTTTTTTTCACTTACTGCTGTGTAGTTAGAGGCAGTTGTAATGTAGACAGGATCCAGCACTTCAGGAGATCTGCACAGGGAGGGACAGTAGGTCCATTTTTCATGCATCTATCTGCTCTCAGAATTTCACTCATGTCTCTTCTTGGGGCGTCCTAGGAAGCAGTGCTAAAATGAATGTCCTTGACATTTCCTGCACTTCATTCTATGTATTGCACATCATTTATATACAGTCTCACAATGGAATAATTTTTTTAAAGATACTGTGGGTAGCCGAAATATGTGGAACTACTTACATGAGGACAAATTTTAGTGTAAATCTTAATGCTGTGTGCTTTTTAGTCATTTTTTTAAATGAAATTCTTTCCATGTGCTGCAGTCCATGGGTAAAGCTGGGCAAATAAGCTCTTTGTATCCCTGCCTCCTGCAAAATCAAAAATCAAAAGGTTAAGGGGATGAGGAAAATTCAGGGTAATCCACAGTGACTTCCTGCAATTAAAAAAAAAAAAAAAAAAAAAAAAAGTAATGTGGTTGACTAAAATAATTATTTGAGGTCAACTGCTGTAACAAAATATGCAAATTTGTTTGTGTTTTTTACTGTTAGAATTTCTTTAAACTATTCCTTTAAAGAGTAGCTTATTTCATGAGATGTACCAATGATTTGATATGAGTGGTTGAAATGTTTCACTCAAAATATTTCAGTAAAATATCCAGGCATGCTTTCTTCATTCCATTTTGCTATTTCAAATTATTTGATGAATTTGACCTGAATTTTCAGATATTTCTACTTGTTGTCCCAGCATGACATCCCCTGACAAAGATATTTGTCTGAAAAATGCTACCCCATTGCACTGGATGTGCCCTGTGTGCCCGCAAGGCACTGGTAGAGAATGGATGTTGAAAGAAGAGACCGATTACTCTTCACATAAGGAACCTCTACCAAGGAATTCTGCTAGGAGAAGTAGAATTGTTAATGCAAAGTCTTTTACTGGGCAAAGTTTGGTACAGAATGAAAGTGATAAATCAGCGACTTAAATCAAAACTCGAGGTCCATAAATTCCTTTTTCAGCAGTAGGTTAAACTGTCAGGTTTAACAAAAGCTTACAACGCTCGCCTGCTCTCTGGTTCTGATGCTGCAAGTGCTATTGCTACCAGGTGTCACGCTCACGCTGAGCCCTGCCATGCTGAGGAAACTGTTTGGGGCTACCTAGGACCTGACTTAGCTTTGCAATGCATCCAATGTGTTATTTGTGCAGAGGTTTCCAGTGCTGCCTTGATAATAAACTCTAAGCCTGGCAGGTTTTCCACAATCATGTATGATAAACTCGCTAAAAAAGACTCATTCTGCAACTACCGTTCTGATGTTGTTTTCTGAATGATCTGACAACGAAGTCACCTAATTGTAAATTTCTTGGTATTTTATTTGGCTTTGATTTAAAACCAGCTCGCTGAAATGTTTGTTGGTGAAATGTGTTTTTGCTTGCCAGGAGAATTCTTTGAATTGCTTTATTTCTTCAAGTGATCTCTTGGCATCATTTGTACCACACCAGCTTCTGCTGTGTTATCCTTGTTACAAATCTCTCGCCGTACCCTACACAAATCCTTCCTTTTGGGTTTTGTAGTTCAGTCGAATTAAATTTGGACCATAAGGGTTTTTTGGGATAGAAGCAGCTTTGTCATGCTGACGAGCCAGCAGCCCCTTGGAAAGATAGAAGAGGTCATAAGATTGCAGGGAATGTGAACTTCCTCAGAGTGTGTCTATGTGAAGTTGAGAAAGATCTAAAATGGACTGTTTTGGAGAAAGCAGAAAATGCTGGAGAGGAACTGGCTGCAACTGGACAAAAGAGACCCAAGTTTTATGGGATGCTCAGTCTCTTGAAAAGGAACATTAAGTTAATTTTAAGTGTTGCAAATGCCTTCTGCAGGGCATCTGCTGAGCAGAAATTTCCTCTGCACTTTTCAAAGTCTGGTTTAGACAGGCTAATAAATCTCTGCCTCCCTTCAGCTGCAGAGGGTTGGCATTTTATGGCTTCAGAAGGTGAAAAAGGGAACGTTACATCTTGTATGAAAAGATAATTCTAGGACAGCACCAAAGGAGTACACAGGCTTCGTCACTTAATGATCTCTGCTAAGTAGCTGAGCGTGTTGTTTTAATGGAGAACAAAGGCTCAGAGTGCAGAAGGACTGAGAACTGAGAAGGCTGAGTAGACAGAAAGGAAACAGATTTGTTTGCTGGGGAGATGTAAGGAAATCTGTATGCGTGCACATGATTTGTGGTTGTCACTGAAGCTACAGAGTGGCTTAAATCAGATTCTACAAACTATAATTTATGGCACTGATAAATGAATCAAAATAATATCAATTCAAAATATTGACTTTATTAATTCTAGGGTTTTTAGTATACCCAGTTTGAAATGCTCAACAAAGTTAGAAGTACATATACTTGATAGTGCATTTTTATAAGTTGTGATTAATTTGATCTACAAAAGACAAAGGCTAAAAAGAATGTGAACATTCATAACACAGTGATTTAGTGCAATACATAAAATTACTGGCAAAATAATAAAGTCATGTGTTTAAAAATGTAAGGAATACGTTCCAGTGATGCCATAAATTCCAAGAGAATATTTTAGAAACTACGAAATAGAAATTTATTATGGCTTGTCTGGAATAACAATTTCTCCTTGGCCAGCAAAACACAGCTTTAAATCTGTGAATGAATATCAAAGCTCTTTTTATCTGAAGTTACCGTGTTTATATGTTATTTCTTAAATTCAAAGTACTAAAGTAACATTAAAAGCCGAGTATTATTTTACCATTAAAATGCAATAATACAAACTATGAAGTTTTATGCTTTGTATGACATTTGCAAAGTGTTTCAGCTCAGCGAGACGCTCCTCTTTTTCTGCTCTTGAGATGATGTCGAGAGCTGCGTTGGCAAAGCAGTGCCTGGATCTCAGTGCAAAGCTGCAGAGATTGCTGTGGGTTTGACAGTCACCATCTTGTCTGCTAGTTCAGAGTCTCACAGTTCAACTTCTAATGAAAAGCATGCTTGTCTGAGCAATGGTTGTGCACGCAAGATTAGTGCTGTTGCTGAGTTCTGCATGCTGGCGTGGAAGGGCTTCTGTTACATCTTCTGCTCACATGATTCCTCAGCTGAAAGGAAACTCATCCAGAATATCTGAGGCTTGAACTCAGCTCTTGATCACTTTTGGCTGAGAAATCAGGAATCTTTTATAGCCTTCTAAATATGTGCATGTCAGTGCTGTGATTATAAAAGCCTCCTGTACTCTTTGCTTGAGTGCACTCTTTGCATGCAAAGCACTTAGCTTGCTGCTGTGTCTGGGTTACCTGGTAGGGGAACAGTTCATCCCTGTGCTGTGGCTGCAGACTCCAAGGAAGCTGGGAGAGGAACCTCTGAACTTTTAAAGTTCATTTTCCACTAGAATCCGTTTCTCTTTTTGCAGGTCTTCCCTTCCTCTTAGCAGGGCCCAGACAAGATCACTGAAGATGTGACTAGTTTTATTGGCCTCTGTGTTGCAAGTGTTGAAAATCCTTTTCCTTCCATAGTTCCTTGGGCTTTTTGCTGGCAGGTGTGACCTCCGTACTTGGGTTCTATTCATGTGGCCAAGTTTTGCTGGTGAACTTCTAAATGAACAACTGAGCCACAGCCAGTTGTACTAACATTCAAAGGCAGAGTACTGCAGTGCTGAGATCCTCATGCTAATCATTCCTGCAGTGCTCTAAGTGAAAGGGGGTGGAGACTTAAGTGACTGCCAGATTAATTAAACCTTGATGTTCCTGCCTTAAAGATTTTACTATCGAAAATTCAGCTGCAAGTTATGACCCATATTCAAGGACTTTTGAAATCAATTAAAATGGTTCCATTCTTGTCACTGTTGCTGTTCTTGTCACTTTTGAGCTGTGCACGGCAGAGCCATCACTGAGAGTGGACTTGAGCAAGGCAGGGGTGAGATTTTCTCCTTTGTCCTCTTAACTGATGGCATTTGACTAACTTGTATTAGTTACCCTTAAAGGCAGCTCCAAGTGCCATATGACTCATTCCTTCTTGGTTGTAAGCATGGTATTCTGCATGAATTTGTGAAGCCATCCACTAATAGGTGGTTCAAATTGAAGAAGACTCCTAGATTTAAGATGATTTACCTCCTTTGTATTGCAAATGTTCATTTGGGACCCACTTTCATTTGTGTATATCTCCACTTTTCAACAGGCATTGCATATATGTGACCAATGACCAAAGTGGTTTAACTGTGTCTATGTGAGAAGGGAAAAATAAATCAAAAGGCCTATTTCTGGAGGGATCAGCCTATTCTCGTGTGAGAGGTCTTCTCTTTCATGTAGAGAATCATCCCAGAGTTCTGGCAAACCATGTGAGTTTTTTTTTCTGGGCTATTTGCTGGGAAAATGCCAATAATGCAATTTAAAACCTCACAGAGCCCACGTCTTGTTTTTTTCCTAAATTTCCCAAATGTGTTGTTTTTTGCATTCATATCACTTAATAATTCAGTCCTGATCTTCCCGTCTGTCTTCATTTTTTGTCCCATTTCAGGGTTTTGAATATACTCCCTTTTCCCCAAATATCCTGTCACATACCAGAGGTGTAACCATATCCACAGTCTTAACTCCAGGTGGCTGGAAGCTGATTCTGCATAAATTAAAGAGAAAAGGTACATTCTTCTCTTCCTTCCCTGAGCATTGCCCCCAAATTAAACTTATAGACCGTAAGTCTAGTCAGAATAAAGCTGTGTCCACCTCTAGTTTGCTCCATACTTTGCAGCCAGACAAACAAAATTTGTTTCTAATCATTGCTAATTATTTCTTTCCTCTGTAGTTCTTCAAACTCACTGGCTTTGCCCTGTACACATGAAAGAAGTGGGAAACCCCACATTTACAAATAATACAAAAAGAAATACGCTAGATTTCAATTATAAAAATAGAACTTGAGTAGGTCAAACTTTATTCCCATTTCCAGATGATAATTTTGGACACATTCATACATGAAGAAAATGTTATGAAATCCAGCTTTTTTTAACATATATTTCAAGATAATCTGAAACTATTGCAATGGAGACAGCTGCCCTAGAAGTTAGATGTTCCTTCTGCACATGGATATGGTTGGTGAAGGTGGAGGCTTCACTATCATGTCAGCTGCTGAACCCATTGATCAGCACTGCATATCAGCATCATCTAATTAGGATCAATGAAACTTTGAGGTTCTGTAGCTTTACTTTTGCAATTTCATAGAAAGTTTATTTGAAAAGTTTATTAAGAAAACCAAAACAATAAAAAAAACAGACAAGCAAACAAACAAAAAACAACAAGATACAAAATCTCTGATGTACTAAAGCAAGACTTTTCATAGATTCAGCTGACAGGAGTTGATGTAATTTGTGCTTGCAACTCATTTTGGCACTAGATAGAAAAACAGTGAACTCAAATCTCACAGATGAGTGCTAGTCACTAGTTTTGTGAGATTCCTCCATTTTGGTTCTGAAACCTTTCAGATTTAGAAATTTGTAGCTTTGAATTCTGAATGAAATCTAAAATCAGGTTCAGCATTCAAATTCAAAGCAGCTGGAGAAGTTGTCCATACAATTCTTTTGCTGTTTTCCACTCAGTAAATCTACCTGCTTCATATTCGTGTATTATTTCTGTAGCCGTGAGGACAATTTTTTGCAAGGAAAATTAGTACTGTATGAGTGTTTCCTAAGTATCTACTTCTAGGACAGAGAAACCAAATGAAGTGAAAAGGTTGTCTAGGGCTCTAAATAGTCACTTAATCACTTTTGGGGAAAAAAAGAGCATAATAATCCACCTCATGCCTGGGTTAATTTAAGAAAGCTACAGCAATCATCACCAGCGTAGAATAATGCTGTCATTACACACACCAGGACATATACCTACCCTCAAATTCTTTTGGCAGTTTTGTGAGTATCTCTTCTCTGCTGTGAAATCAGCACTACGAAATGAATCCAGCACGACTTCTTTGAAACTAAGTGACAACATTCTGGATTTCTATTTTTTTCTCTATGGCAAGTCCAGAGTGTGTTTGATTTAATAAGGGTATCCATCATTAGCCATAAAGAAAAGGTTTGTAGTAGTATTGCTTTGATACTTTATTATTTTCAGAAAATGCATTACAAGTTTGATATCTACTGTCAGAGATGAGATAAACAAAAAATGAGCGCAGTATTCTCTGGCGCTGGGTGAGCTTAGTGCAATACTGGTCAATTATAAGACTTTTTCATGGCTCCTACACTCCTTTCTGAAATGTTAAAGGTCTCACTAATCTTATCAGGTCATTGATTACCACCTGCTGAGCACAACAAAGAGACAAAGAATGTGTAGTTCCATCACATTCAATACGTATCAGTTCATTTTCACTCTTTCCTCACCTCCAAAACCATTATGTTTCTTTAAATGAAGTGAATATTGAAATTGCTTTGTTCAAAATGAATGCCATGTGCCTCTGCTAATCAACATCTGTTTTGACATCATGCCAGGTGATACAACACACTGTAATCTAACTGCAGCAATGGGGTAGTTCATGCCAGGGATGCAGCTTTCACTCAAGCTGACTACAATGGACAGCAAAGGGGAAGTTTCCATGGAGCTTCATCCTGCTTCATCCCTTTCCTTTAGCTCTGCCTCGTGAAACAAAGCCATAAAGAGAGTGTTTATTGCTGGGAAGGATGTGGAAAACTTTCTCCTCTGTAGTGGACTTGGTAGTAGCACAGAAGATTGCCTAATTAATATAATAAATGAGGTGAGAATTATGAAAAGAAAAGATGCTTCTTTTCAGAGCTGAAAATTGAAGCATGTGAGATAGTCTGGAGGCTCTGATTATAAATCTTTCTTACACAGACATCAAAGCAGTGGGACTGGAAAAAGCCCTAAGGGGCTTGTGAAACAGAGTTTTGACTAAAAATGGGTATAACTAATATGGGTCAAAGCTTGCATTAAGTGGATAAGAATTCAGAGTTTGTCAGCTTAGTCCTTTCTACTGGACAGCCAAAATTTGGCAGGATATATCAAGAAGATAATCTCTATTATAATGTTTTTAGAATTTCCTGCTTTGCTTCAGCCTGGAAATGCTTCAAGATTGGCTTTTTTGTGATATTTTCAGACTGCATTTTTTTTCGTTTCTTATTTATTTGTATGTTGGCCTTCCTTTTTCAAGCTGAAGACTAAGCTAAAGCTGTTGTATGGGAGAAAGCAAGATGAGGCTAGCTGAATTGGACAGTGAGGTTAAAGAGTTTGAGGAGTGGGAATTAAAAGAATTTGTTGCTGTTATTAGGGTGGCACCATCTGAAGATATGGGACATGGATACTTTCACAGCTAGCAGCAAAATCTGGGAGGAAAGTGTAGGCAAGGCGTTTGCTTTTATATCCAAATCAATGATGGAAGTAAAACCGAAAGACCTTCATTTAGTGACCAAGCATCTCTGTGCAAGCAGCTGAGTATCTCTGCATTTGGTTTGAAAGGAGATGATTTATTTCATAGTGATACATGGTTCTTCCTAGGTACCCTTTAAACACCCTTTCTGCAACTGTCTCTTGCTCTATTTTGGTGTAGGCTTGCATGTTGGCTGGATCTGAGCTGCATGCAGTAAAGCATTATGAACTTCACTGTTTCTACCTTATGTGATACGGATTAAAAGTTGGGCTGAATTCACAGAAGCTGAAGTACTTCTATAAGGCATTTTTCCTCCAAGAATGGCCTGCTGGTGCCAAGGATTCCAGCACTGTAACTTGTTAGCAGAGTAATATTGAGCCAAGGCCTCAGTGCAGCAGATAACAAAAATCAACTCAATTGTTCTTTGTACTTTTCCCATGTGGACATTCCTCAGTGTCCGAGGACCTTCTCCAGTTGAAAATCAGTGAGACTGCAGTTAACTGTGTGATGTGTTTCAGCAGGCATGCCTACATGCATGCACTTTCTCACAGTGCTACACGCAAATAAAGTGTTGATTCCTGGCTAACTGGCAGGTAATCAAAGGCAATTCCTCCAGATGCTGCTAGCTGGTGTCACAAGTGACACTTCATTCATGCCAGTGAAGTTTTTGAGAAGTGGCTGCCAAATTGGAAACGTCTCATAATAGCTCTTAAACTGGTGGAAACAGCTACTTTGAACTTTGTTCTAGGGGTCAAGTTAGTGAAGGGATCAGTTTTTTTTGCAGATGATGAATGTTTTCATGAAATAGAAACACTTGGAATATGGGAACTTGCCATTTTCTGGAAATGCCTATCACAGTGAATACTACAGATGGCTCTGAGATACCATTGTAGTGGGAAATCTGGCTTGAGTTGTTTTAAAATCATGTACTCATTCATGCCCTTGGCTTTTAACAAGCTGTAGGGTTCTGTCTTCAGATTCCACCAGGAAATCCGTACACTGATTCCACTCGGTGCTGTTGAACTGTGAACTATTGACATTGATTTGTCCAGAGGTAAGAGTAGTGAAAGGACTTAGCAGCAGTTGCTACTATAAGCACTGCTTTATTAAAATTTAATAAAGGATATCATTCAAAGATCTTATTAATGTGAAACTTTTGCTTCTGTAATGGAGTTCTAAAAATGTGTATTTTAATGATGTTGACATGTCACAGGTCTTAGGACTTAGTCCATTGCTCATCTAAGGTACTAGAAAGACTCAGTGACCTTAATGGGCTTTAGATCAGCTCTAGAGTGTTGAGGGAAGCGTTTTGTGAGGATTAGTTCTTCTAGATAAAGAACCTTCTCCTCAGCAAGATTTTCTTCTGAACACAGAGGTAATGAACCATTTTATTTATTCTATAGCTTTAAGAAAGATAACTGAAAGATTAAATTGGTAATACTTGTGGAATTATCTGAAATGCTAACAAATCTATGCAGAACCACAACTCTGCTCTGCATTATTTCTTGTTCTTCACATGTAAAAATAATGTATGTGCTCCTTATGTAAGGACAATTTAATAGATGGTTATGATGAGACTAATTTCAAAACACTTCTTCAGATTACTTAAGAATCATGAAAGTTTTCCCTTCCTACTTTTGTTATTTCAATGAAATGACAACCAGTGACATAAGAACAAAATAACTGTCCAATCTTTGTGTTTTCTAATGAATAATAAAGTGTTTTAACCTCTTTAGGGACTTAACACCACGTTAATCCTTTAATCCCCAGAAAAACCAATTTTGTTGACATGAAAAGGGGATATTTAACTTCATCCAATTAATTTTCTACCTTGGAGATACCACGATTATGAAGATTAGATTGAATAGATCCACTGGAATAGCCTTATTTTTTAAAATGTGGTAGTTTTGCCAATAGATAATAGTATCAGAGACAAAAATTTTACATCAAAATTATGCTCAATTTTCCTCAATTTAAGAAGAGCAATGCCAGTACTTCGACTCCCAGAAAAACCTAGCACTTCTGTAACAGTTACATACGGGGCAGTTAAATTCAGACAACGTTCATGCCTTCAGAACCTTCACTTTTTTATTTAGAGTTGCTCTTCTCACACTTTAAGCACCCACTGAGAAAATACTTTGTAGCAGTAAAAGGCTAATAAAACGTGTTCGGTAGATAAATTTGTGTGGGAATTGAAGAGTGAATCTCCTTTTTAACCATATTTTACAATTAGGGATAGAAGACAGCAGAATATTTCCTGTTTTGCCAGTGTCTTTGCCCAATGGCTTTCCAAGTTTTGAGCTTCTGCAGACTTTTGCCTAAGTAATAAAGCAACTGTTCTATGTTGTTTTTCCAAATGCATGGCATATGGAAGTTGATTTTTCACTTTTCTTTTAAACATTTGCAGAAAGGTCAGATCTTCAAACATGTTGTGTGGTACATCAAAAGGATAAGGCTTTTTTGAAAAATCCTGCCTTATAGTTTGCTGTCTCTGGAATGAAAAGACTGCATGAGTGAGCAAGGGTGGTTTTACGGTTAAGACATCAAAGTAAGATTTGGAAAATCCAGATTAAATTCCCTGCTCAGCTGTAGACTTGACGTGCAGTCTGGGCAGGTCACTCGACCCTACACCTTCCAGTGAAAATGGGTGGATAATGCATCCTTTCTTCTTTTTTTTTTTTTTTTTTTTTTTTTTTTTTTTTTTTTTTTTTAACTTGCCTTTTCAAACTGAAAGTACTTTGGTGTACAGACTGAGCCCATAGTTCAATAATATAATAAATTTGTGTTTGGTACTGTAGTACTGGATCAAAACACCAAAGCTGGATAGACTTTTCTCTGTTTTGCTAAAGCTGTCACTTCAGATGATCTTGTACCAGCAATCTTTATGCTGGGTACCACTCCCCATACCACTCAAAGAGTGTGTTTGATAAAACACTTTAAGCCAAAGAAAACCCAGGGCCCCGCTGTGTATCCTCTCTCCTCTGCTTCAGCATTGATGGGACAGCTGTGCAGCTGGCCAGATTGGTGAGTGAATCCAATTCAAAAGAAGCCTTAACCCCCACCAGAGTTAGTTTGTCAGTCACAGCCCGATGTATGGTTGCTAATGCTGTCATGAGGAAGAAGATGGGAGTGAAAGGCAGGGGTGTGCAAGGTGGGATCAGGTGCTACAGATGCGCAGACCTTCAACATGTTGGTTAGGGGCTTTGATATGTGCAGTTTACAATCAGTGTAAACTACTGGCAGAATCTCTGACTGTACTGGTAAAACCAAAGTACATAATGGAGATACCAGAAAAGCATCCCTAGGAATGGGCTTGGCCTTATCACAAATGTTGGAACTGTAATCAAAGGATGTTGAAAAAGATTATCTGCATTTAAGCCTCATCACAGGCACTTGACATACCACAGTGTTGGTACCAACTACTCTCATCTCTGTGAGCAGTACTGGGCATCTGCAGCTCCTCTCGCTGAGACTCACAGGAGTTGTGCTTGCTCAGGTGCTTTGGTGATGTGTTCTTTGTTTTTGTTTGAGAGAAATGATAACATTAGAAAGCAAGAAGTTTAGAAAAAGATTTTCACTCTGATTGAGTCATGCTTTAAGCCGTAATTTCAAGGTAGTATTTCTTCTTAGAAATTCATTCATCAAAGGCCATTAGCACATGCTGAGCACCAAGTTCAGTGAATTGTAAAGGCATCCTTAACATTCTTCCTTCAACTGTATTCACAGTAAGGTTGTATTCAGTATAAGTAAAGAAATGAGCACCAAATCTTTCATATCTTAGTTTTTCTTCAGAGATCAATGTTTGATGTGCTGAGACATTTTTCGTTGATGTCTTGGCCAACTAGTCTGTGTTCAATGGCTTTAGTTTTGTTTTGTTTTTTTTTTGTCTCCAGCTGTCAACAGTTCAAGAAAGACAGTAAAATATCGATTGTCTGAATCCTTTTGCTGACCTGGGGTGGAATCAGTGTGGTTTTGCATGATGTAAGTGGAGAGAAAGATTAAGGAGGAGATAATTTCCTAATTCTGAACTCCATCCAGAAAGTTGTTTGTTGCATTTTTTTGTTTTTGTTTTATTAAAGAATGTTACTATTGAAATGTCAAACATTCAGCATGTTCTGCTTATATGGTACTAGGAGAGCAGTATGCATTATGATGTCTTTAAGCACATGAGTATATACTATAAAGTAGAATGTGCTTCTTCCACAGCTCACTAATTCAAATAACTAAGTGAGCAGAGCACTAAGTGTTTCTGTCATCACAAGATTTTGGGGGTTTGTTGCACAGAATTAAAACATCATTATTTCATTTTAAACCAGAATATCAATTTTCACTGGCAAAGCAAACAAGATTTAGCATGCTTAAGAAACGCATACATACAGTAAGAACCACTGTACTGATCTGAATCTGTCCTCAAGTATTTCTTATTTGGAAGATTTAACCACCCTTCACCATAATTCTGCCTTATTCAGTGTTCAAGGCAGCTAGCACCCTGGGAGTTAGTACTGTTCAATCAATGCAGTTCTTGTCTGTGCAGTTTCTCACCCCATTTTTTTTTCACTGCTGGAAGGCATACGTATGAAAGGAGCAATGGGGCAACAGTAGGAGAAGCTGTGTTTTGAAGCTAAGGAAGCTAGACTTCATCCCTGCTGCTGTTCCATACTGTCTGCACTGTACATCTGGGGAGAGCCTTAGTCTCATCACAGCTGTAGTGAGATTCTCATTTTTTGGGTGCCCAAAGCAGGTCAGCTGTGGCCAAATATGGAGAGACCTCAAGTTCTTACAGCTGTAATAGATATCAACTTAAGCTTTGATCGCAGTGTTATAACAATGGCTTAGATAGAGAACACAAGAAAAAAAAACAACGCACCAAACTGATTGCAGATATCAGGGATTAGTGAGCACTTCTAGACAGTCCTGTTGCTGGCTGCTCCCTGCCTCTGTTCTCTGAAATGGGGATAATACTAGTTCTGCAGAGCACTATGAAGTGCAATGGGCTGCAAGTTTGTGAAACTACTAGTTACTCTAGAGAGTACAGTGGAAAAATTTAGTGGAAAATAAAGAAGTCTTGACTGCGTGGATAGGGGCTGTATCAAGTTGAATCAAAATGGAGCCACTGTGTGCTGGTAATTTTACAGCCTGTGTATATGCATCTTCTGTATCTGTTGTCATTCCCAGTGTTTACAGAGCTTGATTTTGTCGCTTTAGTGAACTTGTGGTGTTTTTTGATAGGAGTTTCAGTGCATCTGTTTGTATGCAACTCCAGGGCTCTTTCCACAAACTCTTGTGTGAGACAGTAACCTGAGCTACAGCAGGCATCAAGAAGCACAGGTGGAACTTGCTTGTCCCTGGACCTGTGCACTACCCTTGTACTCACTGATGTGAAAGCTGTCTATTTATTTTCTAGACCTAGTATTCATAATGTCTCTCACACATATGCCTAATAGAAATTATGTTCAAGCTGCAGTCTTCGTATCCGTGGGATCACTAATGCTGTCTCTCACCTTTCTTAGCTACTATATTTCAGGAAATTTAAACAGATTTAATACCCACCATTTTTGGCTGAAATTGCTGGTAGCGTCTAAAATCATCTGCAAAATGAAAAGGTGAAGGAGGAGGGTACATTCCAACACAACATGATTGCATGTGCTTCATTCCCTTCAGAAGAAAAGGAAAAAGTCCTTTTCCCTTCAGAAGAAAAGGCAAAAGTCAACATGCAGGAAGCAGAGACTCCCTCTCCACCCTGCTGAGCTGTTCCCCAGAGGAACTGTAGTCTCAAAGCAGGAATGGATCTTGCCACCAGTCCTACACCCACGTAATTTCCCCATTGAAAGTTTTACAACAGTGTGACCAAGGGGGAAAAAAAAAAAAAAAAAAAAAAAAGAAGGCAGCCCCACGCAACCAGGCTGATGTACTTTACCCAAAGACAAATATTCATAAATTCAAACCGTGGGTCAGAAGCCTCTGTGCATCTGGCAGACTGTCAAAACTGCTTCTCTGTGGGCATGTTGCTCTAAGTATTCTCTTTTTAGAACTACTGCTGTGTAATAGCCTTTCCTCCTTTTAATCTTCTAAACCTGGCTTGGGAGGCAGATAGGAAGAAAGTATTACAGGAGTGTGTGACCCTTGAAATTTGCCTCTTCCTATCCCCCTCCCCAGAAATTCACACTTATATTCTAGGAGACAGAAGTCTATTGTCCCAATTCATTCAACTGGTGTGTATGTTTCATGCTCTGAAAATGA